TCGTTCGTTCGTAAAGTTCGTTTGTTCGTTCGCAAGATCGCCCGCCAGTCAGTTACAGTAGTTGGCTGGTCGGTTGCACATAGCTAAAGGAAGGTAAGGATAGAGCAACATGTGCATATGTATGCGGTATGTAACTAACGAGCAAAACCTTGCACCACAGATTCAATTATTTCGGCAGTAAGGCTGCTCCGCGCCACAGTTTTGCAGCCTAGGCGCTAGGGGTAGAGGTCTGAACAGTAAGCACAATATTTCCTTGTCGTCCCTATAACTATTCTACAACATACTGCAACCCCCAGTCTATACCCTTATATCACAGTCATCATGAAAGGAGGTTCACTGGTTTGCAAGACGGTTAACATTTACTGTAATGTTCCGTTGTAGAATGGCGAGAGATGGCCAAGCCACACAACCTCCGCAGATCGATGAAGACTGCATTCCGCCTACCGGCTGAAGGACCTTAGCATCAAGCTAATTAGGATCCTACTATTTAGGTACTGTATCAGGCTCCCCTATTTCCGGAAAGCCCATATTCGGCGCCTCCAGAATTACCATTTTGGGGGGTTCCTTGTTAGAGATGTAGGTTGTAGACGGGTATAGCGCTTTTTCACAAATGCATTTGGAAGACATACAGAAAGGAGCATGTTGTTTGCGATGCTTTGTAGACCTAAACCGTAGTCCTAAACTCTGGAGCTTAATGGGTTTTGCGAAGATGCAAGTATTACAGTATGTTTTCGTATACAACAGTAGATCCAATGTCCTTGGCCAATCTCTAGCTGCAGCGCTGCGAAGCAGCCGCAGAGCATGTCTTGGGCGAGGTAGTGCTTGGGTTGATGGCTTGAGGATTTAGACGAGACTCCCAACCTCGATCCTGAAACTCTAGGGTTTAGGGCCAAAGTTTAGGGTTTAGGTCTCAATAGCAGCCCCGTAAGCCATCATGCAATCCTATACTCGTTTGGATTCCTAGGCATCTGCACCTTCTGCAGAGCCGGAACTCCCGAACCCCCTGAACCTCAAGGCCCCACACCGGCACCACAATTCCGATGCAAGGAACTTTCTACGGAGGTTTAGGGGTAGGGCTTGCGGGGTTGCGTTGTAGTTGTAGGCTCAGGACTCTGGGGTGTTGCGGGTTTTCGAGGTAGGGCTGCAGCCGGTCTTCAAACTTCTCGTGGGGTTACTTGTTGGGTTGCGGCTTTTAAGAGTTTCGGGTTGTCGATGCTTTCAGGGATAGGTTTCCAGGGGTTTGGGGTTTAGGAGTCGACGGGCTTCGAGGCTTTTGGATTCGGCTGTTGAGGGCAGAAGCCACAAAGGATAGCTCCAATTCGCATTCCTCCTGTGCGCGAACCCAAATAATGAAGGAATGTGGCGAAGCATTCTTTGTCCACCATGTGCTGCAGATCCGTACACATCCGAGACAAACCCAGAATGCCTTCGGACTGTGCAAATACCCCGATACCTCTCCAGACCTTCTCCCTTTGAAGTCATAGCCGCTATGTAGAACCCAAGGTTCGCCCGCTGCATTTCGGAGCCCAATCTCGTTTGTAAAGACTCCTCCGTGGAGAGATGCCGTGCTGTCCATCTTGGCATGCACAGAAAAGGTCGGAGGGGAAACTCCCAAGGATAGGACTTCTTTGGGTCTTTGATGGTCTTTGGCGTTCAACTACACGGGTTCGGAGCTTGCTGGTTGAGATTTCTGGGTTGCAGGTTTAGATGAGGCTTGGGGTTGAGGGTTTCTGTCGTGGAACGGGTTTCGAGGGATCTTGGGCATAGGCGTTGAAAGGGTTGTGGGGATATTTTGTTCAGGAGCTTGAGATGATTTTGTTTGGGGGGGTTAAATATCTGCTTTATGGGGCTTCTGCCTTTGCGACGGTTGAGGAAGTAGTAATGTAGGGGTCTTGAATATACTTAGAAGAGGGTTTTGAGCTCCTTTATAGTATAGTTATAACAAGGAGAGCCCTAAAAGATAGTACTGCTGATGGACAAAATCCTGCATGACCCTAAGGGCTCTAAACTATGGGAACTATGGTATATCCACCTTCTAATGGGTAATGCAGGATTTTGTCCATCAGCAGTAAGGGTAGTTACTATTTAGGCTTTTATACTATGGGGTGGTTCAGGGTTGTTGGGTTCATGTCCAGGTCACATTGCTTGGAACTTGGAGGCGGCTTCTTGGTCAGGACCCTCGAATCGTCCACTGGTCTTACGGGGGGTTTAGGGGTTTTAGGGGTTTTAGGGGTTTGGGGGTTTAAGGGCTTCGGGTTCAGGTGCGAGATTTTTTTCCGTTTTGTTGCGATCAACGCACTAGTATTCTGACCATCGTTGGGGGTCTCCTTTCTCAATGGTTCAGAGTTTTTTGGATTTATGTGCTGCATAGCAACACAAACGTGAGCAAAGACGCTGGTCCGTGGCCTTCATGGCTCAGGCATTCTCGAACTTGTGGTGAAACCATGGAGAGCAGCCTTGACGTCCAAACATATCTGTGCCCAAAGGGTCCTATGTACTGGTATGGGGGATACTTCCCTAAGTCATAATAGTAATTCCTAATATGGAAACCCTACATTGCACTATATCGGTAATTACATACTGTAGGACCCTTTGGGGTGTTGAATCAACCACGACCGCACGGTTTGGAAGAGCTCCACCGAAAAAGTAGAAACAGTGTTTGCTGTTTGCTGCCTGTCTGGTGCGAACAGCACAACAAAGTCACGCGCGATCGTTTGCCACGCTGCGCAATGGCCACTTCAAGATGCTCCCTCGACTATGTGATGATGTGGTTCCGCTTTGTTGGTGGTCTTAGCATCTGTTTCGGGCCCATCCTGTGCTTCGGTGGAATTATGGCGTACACCAGCGATGTCGCGCCAATTCGCGCCGCGATGGCTGGACATGACCCGAGCACGGATTTCAGCTCAGTTGCAGGCGGTTGCTTGGTGACCGCCCACGAGTTCGGGAAGGCAGCTTCTCCCACCCCGCACCCCCCCTTCCTCCCATTTCCCTTCAGGTCTAATAGGGAGGTTCTCTAAACAAGAGTCCTTGTATGTCCTTGTTATATATATATATATATATGGATGGGTGCCGTACTATGTTGGGACTGCAAGAGGGCCTCTAGATTAAAGAACTGCCCAATACCCAAAAGTCTCCTCTTCCAGTTGCAGGCTTTTAATCACAAAAGAATGCAGGCACCAACCCGAAGCCCGCAACCCCAGAACCTAGAACCAAAAGGACCCTACTGCAAATCGGAGACCTTCGGCTCTAAAAAACCTGAACCCCCGAAACTCAAGGCCCGACCCGAACCAGGTGCGTACCTGCCTCACGTTCTGCGCGAATGGCGGAGAGGATCGTCGGAGAACAGAGGGATGCAGGTACCCTGAGGGTCCTAGCCCCTAGATTTACAGATTTAAGGGTTGAGGCTTTTCAGGTTCATGGTTTTCGTATGTCTCACCCTGGACTGCTTGGCAAGTCTTGTGCCCCAACTACAACCCTGACCCCTAAAGATCGCATATCCATTCAGGGATCTAAACCTATATCATAAGCCCTCAACCCGACCCGCCCTGTGGACAGCTTTGCACCTGCCCGTATACAGACGTACAAATCCTCATAGATGCATAAAATGATATAAAATGCCTTGAGCCCTCAGACATTTCATGCAACCCGAAAAGAGCTTTTGCGAGCCCAGAGAAACCCTGAGCGAAAGACCTCCCTTTAGACCTCAACCCTGAAACTCGCAACCCCAAACTATATGTCGGACCTCGCGAGCGGGCATCGACTTCCAAGCAATGCGAGAGGGAAAAGCAACCCCAAACCAATAGACCAGGAATCCTCCAGCACTAAGCACTAAACCCCGAAGCTCGAAACCCACCGAAGTCGGCATTTTTGCCCGCAGCCTTGTATAGCTTCTGGGAGGCAAGCAACAGACCCTGCATCGTAGGCTCGTCCTAGCCAGGTGGGAGGCAACAAAAAGCCATGAACCAATTTGCAGAAGGTCCCTGTCTCGACTCAAGACCCACCAACTACCCTCTAATACACCCCAGATACCCACTATTAAGGACCACAAAGGGTTTATACCCCAGATACCCACCATAAAGGACCACAAGGGCTTCTATTAAAGGGCCATTGAAGGGCCCGGAAAACCACAGGTTCCATTCAAACTACACCGCGGACCCGCAGGATGGTGTCTTCGCGTTGGTTTAGTCATATTCAAAAGTCCCCTGAGGATTTTTTCTATTTTTGTGCATATAAAACCCAAGAGAAGATTAATCAAATATTATTTTTGCTATGGTTCTAAGGGGGGTGTAATTAGATAAAATCAAATTCCTTGGTCCCTTTGTCTTGCGGAACTCTCTCTCTCTCTCTCTCACTCTCACTCTCTCTCTCTCTCTCTTTCGATCTCCTTACGGTTCAGGGTTTATGGTTTACTCTCTATATGTATATATGTATACATATATATATATATATATATATATTTATGGTTTAAGGCCCAAGAGATCATCAAGCATTGATTATATGGGTGTGCTATGGCGTAGATACTGGGTTCTCAGTGCAACGGTGCTAAGACTTGGAAAAAGCCTCCGGGAGTAAACTGTGCTGCAGATTGTTTTTGCTATATATGGGGGATGCGATGATTGATTATTCACTTGGTCCCGTGTGCGCAAGGTTTGGGATTACGGTTCAGGGTCTAGCTTGGGGCTTAGCCAACGTGTCGAGCCGGTAAAGGCTCTAGAGCTTAGGTCTATTCGAGATCCTGAATCCTGAACCACATAGAGCTTCAGAACTCAGAGCGCTCCGGGCGACAAGCCAAAAGGACAGGATTAGACATGTAGAAGCGTTCACAGTTGGCGCAATTGTTAGCACCATTCCTACACCCCAAAAGCTGTAGTCAGCTGTTCAACCAAACTACCCTGCAATGCGGGCTCGTCCTTGCGAAGTGGGAGGGAAACACACCCCAAAAGACCCTAAACCCTAAACCCTAAGGAGCTCCCAGCTTCGTGGAGCTTTTGCCCGTGCCCATGGAGTCCGACTCTGGAAAGCTTATCTTGAAGGGGCTGAAGGGCTTCCTCGTTTTTAGAGGCTATGTAGGGTTTAGGGTCAGGTTTATAGGTTTGTTTGAAGGGGCTTCCTCGTTTGCAGAGGCTAGGGTTTAAAGATGAGGATCAGGTTTTATGGAGGTTTTCAGGCTTCTAGGTTCATTTCCGGGTGGTGGCTAAAGCCCAACATCATCACTGATGGAACAAGGGCTTAGGGTATGTTAGGTATACAGAGCTGGGGTGCATCAGCAAAGACAAGATAGAGCTTATGTATTTTCTAAGGATTGGATGCCATGCGACACGACACCGATGATCCCTGCCGGAGCACCGAGAGTAGGGGACGTCGTGCCATGCTGGCGGTCCAACATCAGTCCCACTCCTGGCTTCTATTCGTGTCTTTGCTCGAACCTCGCCTGCAGGTGTTAAAGATTTGGCGTCGGAATAGCTAGAAAAACTATCTCCCTCTAGTCGTTATGGTGATTAGGCAGGCTATTGTATTTCCGGAGACGGGCCTGACATTTGCAACCGTCAGCTAGAGGCGAAAGCAGTGGAAGCCCCCTGGCCAAACCAATTCAACAAAGCATTGCTTTCTTCTGTTCACCATCACCACACCAGCTTTAGTGCCACCACCGACACCACACCACCAGCGACACAGCACCAGCACCAACAACAGCAACAGCAGCAGCGACACCAACGACGACAACAGCATCAACAATAATCATCAACAGCGCAACATCAGCATCGACAGCCGAAACAGCCGCAACAAACACATGATACACCATGAGCAGCGTCATTGCCATCGTGATCGTCACTGCCATCATCATCGCTGTCCTGAGCGTTATGCTCTTCCTCATCGTCTTCATATTCATTTCGTGTCCATCAGTCCCTGCATTGTAAGATGCCCGGATATTGCCGCCGAGGGGATACTTCGGGGCGTGCCCAGAAATTTCCGGCAGCTGTACCAAGCTGACAGACCCCACAGCCATCTGGGACTTCGTGGAGCAGGAGCTGGCTTTTGCAAGACTTACCCCTGGATGTGTCTTCGTAGTATATAGTGGATGGCACAAATTAGTTTCTGCTCTACACCGCTAATCCCCAATTCTTCCGAATTTCACGTAGTACAAGCCCAAAACTGCGCCAGTAGAATGCCTCCAGTCCAGCCAAAGCTCACGAAGTGAGGGTGCTAAATCAGGCTTGTGATGCCAGGCCCTCCTCAGATTCCTTTATCGTCTTATCGAGTCCAGGCTCGAGTCCAGGTACCCTAGCCTAGACTAGAATACCTTAAACCGTGTACAGCTTATTCCAGGAGCTGCAGCCCTCCTTAATTCTGTTTGGCGTGCTCGTGGGAGTGGCCGGCAGCTGTTGGCTTTGTGGCTTCCTGGCATCACTCTAGGATGCAGTTGTTCGGGTGTAGGATGTTGCAACGACCGTCGTGCTGGGTGGCTGCTTTGTGGATTAGTTAATGTCTTCTTGTCGCGATGTTGCTAACGGTAGATTTCAAGAGCAGACAAGGTCTTATCTACCTGCCCTACCATTGCTGGTTCAAGCGGGCTGCGTCGGTTTCGGCAGCTGAAGATGTCCCTCAAGTGGCTGTCAAAGTGGACGCGCCAGAGCAGGGTGGTTAGATTGCTTCATGGAGGCCGTTGCTGTAGTTGTGCATTTGCTTCTGCCCTGAAATCTGAGCCTATAAACCCTCAACCAGTCCTAAACCCTAAACCGTGCCCCCAACAGGCACGCACAGCTACATGAGTCATGAGTGTTCCACGGAGCCTGATAACCCCCTACTTGCCGAAGATGTCTTCAAAGCCAAGTGGTCTCTATCATAAGAACATGACACAGAAGACTATTCCGTAGGGTTCACCGTCGGGGGGTTGGGTCCTCATCGTCCGAAACTCCCAAATTCCTTTGACAAGCTTCCCGAAGTTTCTACAGGGAGCCTCTCCGATGAGAGTTTCAGGGGCCCCCAGGGTCCGAGCTGCTGCGGTGCATAGAATGCTTTCAGGTCTTGGAGTTAGGATTTTGGTGTTTGGGGGCAGGGGGGGGGAAGCCGGGTAAAGGGTAAGTTTTTGCAAGTCTGAGACTTTTGGGTTTTGGGGCAAAGGGTAAGTTTTCACAGGTTTAGGGCGAGGTAGAGTCCTAGATACCTAGTAAGTTAGGTATTCTTCAAAGGCGTCTGAGTATTTTGTTCATCTACCCTCTCCAGCACCCATAATCGCCACATAGCATATAAACGACTCAGTTAGCAACATTGTTCTCGTTGAGGCCCTGTGCACGCATGGTATGCCTGAAAGGCTATACCCGAATAGAGTGTCAGTGCTGTACTTCTATATGCTCGTACTCACTGGGTAGCTCGGGCCTTTGGCGAGTCACTGTTCCGGGGCCGAGGCCGTAGGCCAGGAATCCCCACGAGGAATTTGTCCGTTTCGCTTGGCGAGGAAAATGTGGAGCTCCAGTGTGCCTGTTTGAGTGAATACAGGGGTTGGAAGAGTCATTAATGTTCTCCCCTGATAGTCCCCATATACGCTAGATGCGTATACTTTGACGACCCCACAAAGCCCAATGAAAATGGTGTGGGTAGATCTGTACCTGGAGCCCCACGAAAACTGAGGTAGCAAGGCCATAGTTATAGTTAGTCGGCACTGGTTTTTTGAATGAAGTTTAAACCCCAAGCCCGAACCCTAAAACCCTAAGCTGCACAGATAAGCCCAAAGCCTTGGTACTCATGAAGTCTCATGAACTGCTCTTGGATCGTAGACGGCCTCAGGTGCCGCAGAGGGCGGCAGGCCAAAGCCTATACCTTCGTTGAAGGGCTAGGGGTTTAGGGTTTAGGGATGTTTAGGGGGGGAAAGGGGGTTCATGCTGTAACCGGGCTGCTGGACAACGAGGCCTGCTGCAAAAGGGATGTTTAGGGTGTGCGTCTTCGACGTGCCAGGCAGGATTCGTGATGGTGGCGTTTCAGAACTGACGGGTTTTAATAAAGACCCGACATACTGGGATCCGTATTAATGCAGAACCCTCCATCATACGGAACCATGATTAGTTTAAGAAAGCCCATATCTTGTCCGTCGCCGGCCTTCTTGCTTGTCCATGGCTTGCACAGGACAGCACAGCACAGTAAGTCAGCCGAAAGTAGTCAGCATGAATCGATGCAATCCCCACGGGCCCTAAACATTAGACTGGTTGAGTTTCAGGCTGCGGCTAAAGGATTCAGATACAAAGTTACGTGAAATGCCCTGTCCTCGAATCTCAGCTCCCTAAGCTGCGGGGAAGCCACAAGATACAGATATGTCGGATTTCGGAGCTGGCACTTTGGGATACTTTTGGCTCATTGCCCCTAGTATGATCTTATTCCCTCATCCCAATTCCCCAGTCGCACATACTTTTGGGTGATCTACACCCCAAAAGCCGTACGCCTTAGACACCCTAAAGAACATAGTCGTGGGAGCCCGTAGCTAAGGGTGAGACCCCCAAAAGCAGCCTCGTCGAATTCATCCTGAGACCTGGAGCTGGCACCGTGTGTATGAAGGCCGAGGGTTTCATGTTCAAGGATCCATTTTTCAAGGGTCTTTTAGGGTTTAGGGGGGGTTCTGGTTTTCATTTTCAAGGATCCATGTTTTCAAGGTTCTATCAGGGTTCAGGGTTTGGGGGATAGGTTTTCATATTCAAGGATCCTTAGTTTCAAGGATCTATCAGGGTTTAGGGTTTAGGTGGGTTAGGGTTTTCATATCAAGGATCCATGTGAGTAGCTCTTTGAATTAGTGCCACTTTCAGGGTCCTTTTTGATAAGGGTGCCGTACTACTTTTTGAGGATTTTTAAAACCGTCTTTAGCACGGGACCCTGGTGTAGATAACTTCCCACATCAAGGATCCATGTATTCAGGGGTCTCTCTCTCTCTCTCTCTCTATATATATATATGTATATCTACATATATACAGATGCACATATCATATATCTATATATATATATATATATATCCATATATATATATATATATATAAGCTTACCCTGAACCCTCCAGCATCGAGGTCGAGGGCTGAGGGGCTGTTATCCCCAAAGCCTAGCCCTGAATCGTTGAGCCCCAATCCCAACACCAGCGGTTTCAAGCAGCTTTGCAGAACTTCGAGCGTGGAAGCATGAGGTGGTCATGCTTCACCCTGATTCCTGAGATTGCAGCCTGCGAGTTTCATTATCATACATATATATGTATATATACAATATATATATACACACACACACATATATATATATATATATATATATATATGTATATATACGGCTCGGGCTACCGCCCTGACCCAGACCTTTCCTCGCCCTAAACCCTAAACGCTACACCGTGGTTGCTTCGGTTGCGCACTACAGGGTACCAACTATGAAGCACTCCCGGGTCGAGGTAGCCTCCAAACAGCTCCCAGCCTTCATACACTGGGGTGTGAGCTTTACAGGGTTCAGGGCTTTGAGATTAGCCTTGACTCTTCACCGAATCAGCCCCCTGGTGCTGAAGCACTGCCAAGTTCGGAACTCTGAAACCATAACTCCGACACCTGCAAAAGAGTAGGCTATGACACCATCTACCCTTGAACCTCCGGCCATATCCAAATAACTTCCTGTTACCGCAAGTTCTACAAACAGCAGGTTATGATTCGCAATACAAGCCCTTAAGTCCTGTAGTCTCGCGAAGCAACAATGGAAACACTTTGCATGGGTTTGGGGCCAGGGTTTCGCTTGTAGGGTCTAGGGGTTAATTAAGGTTTAAGGGTCTGGGTAGGGTTTAGGGGCTTAAGGTTTAGGGTCAGGTTTGGGGTAGCCCCCTCCTAGATCCTTCACCAAGCTCCCGGGAGGCTTGCAGGTTTCGCCCAGAAACACACAACGTTTGAACCCCAAGCTATGAATCCCCGAAAGGGACCTGAAAGGGTTCCTTCCAGGAGCAATTATGGGGTTCAGGGTTTAGCGTTCCCCTAAGGGTTCCTTTATGAGGGTTCGGGTTCTGGGTTTACGGGTTTCTAGGTTTAGGGCTCAAGCTCCAAAGTCGAATCCCAAAGCCTCCAAAGTCGAATCCCAAAGCCTTTAAGGAAAAAGCCAGAAAGTTGGAATATGATTATCCTAACCCTTCTATGGTAAATTATAGGGTATCCTACCATGAAACCATATTCCAACTTTCTGGAGTTCCCTGTAAGCCTCTAAAGCTTCAACCATTTATCAATGAACCCGTTTGTTTTTGCAGGTCAAACTGGGCCACGGATGGACCTTCGGCTCCTCTCCGTGACGACCCCCTTGAAGAGGTCGGCTTGTGTGTTGTTATTGCCTGTATTATGTACAGCGAAATACCATATGTGTATAGGGCCCTGATTTCTTGGAACATTATTTTCTCAGGGTTCCGGTTACATATAGTTACGTATAGATATAATATGACATACCCTGAAACCCAATTCCGATGTTCTTGGCCTGGGGTTATCGCTTCAGTACCTACTTCAAAGAATCACAGCGCTTCGCTGTTGGGGTTTACCGACCAGGGAATCGCATTTCTGGTCAGCTGTTCTTCGTTCCTGGACTGTTCAGGCTTTGGGGTTGGACCCCTCCAATCATGATCAAGCTTATTCCGGCTGACTCATGTACAATCCCCATCCGGCTGGAGCCTTTAGATCGTGTCATCCAAACTCCACCACGCTGCGCTGCTTGCTAGCTGCTAGCCCACAAAACCCAAGCCCCGTCAACCTAAACTCGCAGAGCTTTAACCCGATGCTTCCAAGGACCTTATACTTAGGGCCCTGGACTTTTTGAGGACCCAAGACTAAGGTCCCTGGAAGCATAGGGTACCCAAAGGCCCCAAACTAGAACCTTTTCGGGGTTCATATATAGACTCCTATAAGGTAATCCCAAAAAGGAACTGCTATGGGGCCTTAGGGTAAGCCCAAGCCGCGCAGGTTTTACAAATACATCCTCAAGCGGATCCTCGGGAGTTTCCTGAAGTGGACAACTCAGGGACGGGCCTTCCTGTAGCCTATGTTTGCAAAAGGGTGGGAGTGCGTGCTGGGGTTTAGGGTTTATATATAGACTTTCGGATTTTATTTATCGACTTTCGGATTTTATTAGGGTTTAGGTTCAGGGCTTAGGGTTTAGGGGGTTCAGGGTTTATGCTTCCGAGTTTTGGTGAGGCCCCTTAGATCCTATGAACCCTGAGCTGACAGAGTCGTAGCCTATTATCTTCTAGGGCTCCTTCTGCAGGTCCTTAGAACCCTGAGCCCCTAAATTACATGGGATTTCGGTAGGGTTCAGGGGCTGGAGGGGTCGCAGTGTAGGGGTTTCGGCTCGGGGCCTATAAGGCTTCGGGATACTCTCTTCTGGGTTCCGCTACGAAAGAAGAGGGTGTTGGATGTGGGGTTTGAATGCAATGGGCTAGCTTATGGGCTTATGTGTAACTCCAACTTCAGCAAAATAACAGACTATGATCCCACAGCTGCGGGTTCCAACGTTCAAAGTAGTAAGGTATGGGCAGTCTTGGATCCCTAGGTACATGTGTCCTTGTCGTATCGAAGTCTTTGCAGATCTTAACTGTACAGACGAGGTTATCCCAAGGAGCGTATTACAATTCTGGGTCTGGTAATCCTATAGGCTTTCTAGTCTCAT